CTGCCTAGGAAAGAATTAGACAAGAGAGGCAGGAACCCAGCGATGAAATCCGGGCGGATCTATCCAGCTCGCACGAACCGGTGCTGGTGGTGGGAGGCTCTGCCCACCCGCCGGGACATCATTGCGCCCTGTTTTTGACCCTCTGCACATGCGCAGAAGAGGCACACATGCTCATATTCCCGAACCAGTAGTGAAGGTAAGTCATTTCACCACTGCAGCAATCCCCAGTGACTTAAGAGTCAGGGAAAGAAAGGACTCCCCTCAGTGGATAAAGCCATTAAATGTGGTGGTAGGAAGCTTTGTTCTTTCAGCCTTGCAAGATTGCAGCTCTCCCAGGTAAACCAAACAGGAAAGCTGACTAGAAGAGCTAAATCTACTTTATTGTGGGGCTTCATTAAGAGAATCTTGCAAGGCTGAAAGTGCCAAACTTCTCACTGTCATTTTTAACTTCTTGATCCATTAGGGTAGGGCTTTCCTAAATTTCTCTGACCATTAAATCTCTGGGGGCTCCTGCCTCTTTGTCTGATTATCTCCTAGGCAGCATCTCTTCCTCCATTTCCTCAAGAACATTCTCACATTCCATTGTACATTCCAGATGCAGTCCATGAACTTACACAGTACCTACTAGTACTACTACGGAGAAAAAGTGTTGCTGTGATTCAATGATGTGTTATAATTTTTAAAATACACAAACATGGCAAGTCATGTAGAAGTCTCTAGGAGAAGCAGGACTCTTTCTTGCATCCTGCAGTTTATCTGTAATAAGCAACTGTTCGCTGTATTCTTCCAGAACTTCAGAATTCTCCTCATACCAAGTGATAAGTTTGACTTTAACTGCTTTCTGCCAGTTGTTTTTGGCAAATCGGCTAAGGAAGGCTATTGTCATAGCTGACTGTTATCTCTGCCTCCAACCCTACTTGGCAGATATTCAGATCTAGCTCACTGGTGTTGGAAACCTAACTTGAATATCTGGAGAAGTCAACTCATTAACAAATAAGGAAATAGGAATCAGTCTTAACAAAATATGTACATAGCAGAGTGCACTGGATGTTGTGATGTTTGTCCTCAGCATTATGACATGGTTTTATCTTGCTCCACAGTCTTCCTAATAAAGGAATGGGGAGGTCAATGGTTATCAAAATGTAATCAGCTTCAGTTTTGAGGTATTACATAAGCACAGAAAATATTTTAAGCATTTTCATTGACACACATGCTGGGCTCAGAAATGACCATTTTCTATTCTTTACTGTTGCCTAATTGCAGTCGTTGGTCTAATCCTAATCCTATTCTAATTAATAGCCTTTCCCAATTTAGTGTTATCTATGTATGTTGTCTTTACTTTGACAGTGCTGCAGTGGTGGGTTGCTACCAATTCACTCCGGATCAAATGAACCAGTAGCAGCGGGAGGCTTCTCCCACCTGCCTGGACACTTTTGCGCACGCGCAAAAGCATTGCGCGCGAGCACACAAGTGCCCACAAGCGAACCGGTAGCGATAGGTTTGAAACTCGCCCTTGCAGTGCTGGGTAGGAGATTATGGATATGGAAGACCCTGAAGACTACCTAACTCATGCTTTATGCCTTACAATAAAGTTTATATAATTACCAATAAACCCATCATAAAGATGTACCCCAGGGGTGAAATCTAAAATTTTTTGCTACCGGTTCTGTGGGCGTGGCTTAACTAGTGGGCGTGGCTTGGTGGTAAGGTGACTGTGAGGAAGTGGCTTGTTGGTCAGGTGGGCGTGGCCAAGTCAATATCACTGCTTTGCCCTTTTTTAACCTACAAAACACAACACAACACAACACAACAGGCTCACCCACAATATAAAAGCAGTTGTGCTAGACCCAAAATGGCCCCTGCAACAAGCAGGAATCTCTCACAGCCACAAAAAGCCCCCCCAAAAACTTTCACACTTTACACACACAAAATTCCACATACAGCTTTGTGAGATTTTCTATGTTTGTGTAGTTAGAGTGAAACACTACAGAAAAACACTAAATCTCAGAAAGCTGCACAATTTTTTTATTTTTATTTATTTTTATTTTTATATAAAAGCAGCTAAATTTAAAACTTCCTAAACTTTAAATGGCTAGGTCTAAAAAAGAACAACAACCCCCCCCCAATTAACTATTTTTTTAAAGCTCCGAAAGGGGAAAAAAACTTACCCAATAGAACAGGGGTCTCCAACCTTGGCAACTTTAAGACTTGTAGATTTCAACTCCCAGAATTCCTCAGCCAGCTTTGCTTTGCTGGCTGAGGAATTCTGGGAGTTGAAGTCCACAACTCCCTGCCTGCTTGATTGCAGGCAGGGAGATTCAGTTGCTTGCTGATGCAATAGATTGCAGGGATTAAAGCAAGGCATTGCGACCAGCAGCTAAGGTAAGCAAACTGAGGGGGGGAGGGGGAGAGATTTTTGCTACCGATTAGCAGGCAACTCAGCTGGGGTCGTCAGAGCTTGGATCGTCAGAGCCATTTAAAAGGAAAAAAAGGCTCTGATGGTTGCGCGGCTCAGCTGGGCATGGGGGGGCGGGGGCAGGGATTTTTGCTACCGGTTCTGCGAACTGCCACCACCATCGCTACCTACTCGCCCGAGCCGGTCCAAACCGGGAGCATTTCACCCCGATGTACCCTCAATCATAATAATAGGTTACCATCACATGCGGGGATACACAAATAACAAATATGCTTCTTGTAAAAAGCATGCTTGTTGCTGATGTTTTATTCTTTTCCTCTTTTTAGAGAGATCTTTTCAATGACAAAAATATACATTGTGCCACCTTTTATTGTTTCTTTCAAACATATCTCCGTCACTGAAGTAACTCTCATTGTGCACTTGGCACCAGTTAATTACTCTTTCTTCTGCAATTTTAATTGTATCACTATATGCCATTTATCTTTTTTTTTTTTTGTAGCAAATAGCTTATTTTATTTTGGACTTAAATGAACTGTATTCTTTTTGAAAAATGTCCTGAAGATATGAGTAAAGAGAGATAATATTTATATTTCAAAATTATTAAATTTATTCAAGAACTATTGTAACATTTTCCAGCAGTTTTCTCTTAATGATAGTATATCTTTTGATTTATTCATTCTCTCTCCCGCCCCAATCTCTGCAAAGATCACTGCTTATAATGGTACCTTCTTCAGACAGCCTAAAACTTTTGAAAAAGACTAGATTCTTTTGCGATTCTCCTAATCCTTTACCATAGCTTGGAAATTATAGTAGTCTATTTTTGAACTTAAAAACATACACACATATGAAATATTATATTTCCACAGGACTTAATATAGTAATGGCATGCAGAATTAATCCTTGGAAAACACATAAGTGAAAGTATCTCTTATTGGTGTTATATTTATCCCTGGACATTTGCAAGGAGATGGAGTTCAGGGCCTGAGGTAATTCAGAACACTAATTCTTACTACAACTATTAATTGGAAAGATACTTTCTTATTTGAAAATGTGAAGTTTTTCTTTATCTTCTTCATTTTCTGAAGGGTTAAAAAACTGACAAATATAACGTTTTAATCTTACAAAGATAAGAGAAGTATTAGTCTAAGTTCCCTTTCAAATTCAAGAATTCTTTGCTGCACATGGAGATACCTTGACATTTTCCAATGGAAGTTTGAAATGTACTTGACCTTATTCCCAACTGAATAAACAATAAGCCTTTTTTTGTCTTTGACTGGACTCTTCTTTTGACTATCATTAGAGATTTTAGGGTGAAAAGTTCAAAGCCTTTATTGTCATTGTACATCATGTATACAATGAAATTGATTCAGCCTCTACTGGTGCAGTCCATACAAGAATACAAGACAGCATGAATAATATAAAGAATAATCTTTATACAAATAGTTAGGGAAAAAACCCTAGTCATACGTTTTCATATGTACATCATATTCTGTGCAACATGTATATTACTCTGGTGTATGATCTTACATCATGGTATATACATATTACACACTACACTGGCACCAGTGAAATTCGTCATATTAATCTGTTTGTGGTACTATATTGTGTTTAGGAGTCTAACAGCCCATAGGTAGAAGCTGTTTTTAAACCTGTTTGTCCAGCTGGCTATACTTCTGTATCCTCTGCCCGATGGTAAAAGTGAAAAGAAACACTGGCCAGGGTGTGAATCATCCCTAAGTATCTTCCTTACTCTGCTAAAGCAGCAAGACCTGGCGATGGCATCCAGTGGTGTTAGGGGACAACCAATGGTTTCTTGTGCCAAATTAATCACTCTCTGTAGTGCCTTCCTGTCCGTGGCTGTTAAACCAGCGTACCATACTGTTATACAGTATGTGAGAACACTTTCTATAGTGGACCGATAGGAAGAAGTCATCAGCTGTTGTTCCACCTGATTTTTCCACAGGACTCTTAAAGGAAATGAAGTCTCTGAACCAACAAGCAATAAAATTAGATATGATTTCCTATTCTTCATTTAAATATAACCTCTAGTTGGATCATCTACATCAGGGATCCTCAATTCCTGGGCCGTAGCTCAGTACTAGGCCAGGGCATGTTCAGAAGTGGGCCGCAGAAATAGTGGGCAAGTGCGTGCATGCATATCCACTTGCATGAACAGTTGGCAAGTGTGCAAGCAGCTCCATTGGTGCGAGCGGCAGGTGCATGCGCCTGCTGCTCACGTAAATGGACCTGCTCACTCACCTGCTGCTCACGCGGAACCATGTCCTCTCCTCGCCCCTGCCAGTCAACAAAGCTGGAAAGGTTGGGCACCGCTGATCTACATTATATGGTCTAGCTTCTGAGTGATACTTGAAAAGATGACCTTAATAAATACTGACAAATAGTCTCTTCACAGGACATTAACCTCTGAGGTAACTTCTTTATTAACTTGAACAGGAGACTCTGAACGATCTCCTCAGAACTCAGAACTCAACTCAAACAATCGCTGACAGCTCTTATATACCGGCTGTCAGCGTGGTTAACCAATCACAAAGCATTACCCTACTATCCGTTCCAACAGGGGGCCCAACCTGGGGAACCTGCTCAGTACATAACAGACCTTGCTTGGCATACTGAGTGCCTATGAAATATCACTAGAGGAAATAGAAAATGGCTTTCCTGTCAGTTTTAAGATCCTGCTGTAAAGAAAATGAGAATTGAAAACAAATATAAGAAGAAAAGATAAATAGATTTAACAGAGAAGAGAAAACTTAGAAAAATATAACTGGATGGACATGATTTTGTAAAAGCGAGGTGAGAATTTTTTTTAAAAAAATTACAGTTAGGAAAAGCAGACATCTGATTAACTCAACTTTAGAAATACACACCTGAACTATATGTAACATTTTTTTTGTGGGAGTGGGTGTCTGGCTAGTGACCGAAGGTACTAAAATGCATAAGATCAACATTGTTATTCGAATTCGAATTCAGAATAGAGCTGAAAGGGACCTTGGAGGTCGTCTAGGCCAACCTTCTACTCCCTTCTGCTCCCTCAAGCAGGAGACTCTGTACTATTTCAGGCAATTGGCTGTCCAGACTCTTCTTAAAAACCTCCAGTGATGAAGCACCCACAACTTCTGAAGGGAAGCTGTTCCACTGGTTAATTTTTCTCACTGTTAGGAAGTTTTTCCTTAATTCCAGGTTGCTTCTCTCCTTGATTGCTTTCCATCCATTGTTTTTTTGTCCTGCCTTCAGGTGCTTTGGAGAATAAGTTGACCCCCTCTTCTTTGTGGCATGTTAGCTGGGATAGAATTATAATACTGAGATGATACGGAAAAACAATACACTTTTTAAAGAGTTTTCAAAGATATAAATGGCTCTTCAAGCCAGGGGTTCATTTGGAGGTAGCAGTTTTTAAAAGTAATATCTGTCATCCGGTGGCCAGATATGGGGGCTGGCCTTGTCCAATTAGCAGACAGCAGCCCATCTGGTTGGCTTGGTTCACTCTCTTGTATGTCCTACGCATTCCTGCAAAGGAATCTCAAAAACAGAAAACTCCAAAACTGAGCCAGCTTACTGTGCTTAATTATATTTGGGTATGTTGGGTGTTCTTAAGCATTCAGTTCTTCCTCCCCCCCCCCTTTTTCCCCCCCTGTATGGCCTAGTTTGAAACAAACTGTTGACAGTTGTTACAAGCTGCCACCTTTGCCCTGAGAATATGAAACTTCCTTTAGGGACTATATTGGCTCATGACTGTGGTTGGCTTCCTCTTTCACCAGAAAGTATGATTGTAGTACGATGGAGAAAATGGCAGAGAGGATTACAGCCGTCTTTGTGTCTTCACCCGTGAGACATTTCCCTGTAAGCACTCCTTCACCTTGCTCTATTCATTTCTGTTCTCTGCTGCCTTTGGGTTAAACAACGTAGCCTTCTGAATTTTGACATTCCTTATTTACCCTGACGGTCTCAAACTGTAGTTTCTTTCAACATGTCCTCAATCATGAGGCTGAACGGTTGGATTCTTTAAAAAGAAATGGAAAAGATTGAGTTTCAGAGAAACAACCCTCTCCCCCGGCCCGCTCCAAGGTCTGCAGTAGGGTTTTTAAACTGCCTTTGAGATTGTGGAATACATGGATTCACATCAACAAGTCGACGAGCAATGGGGGATCAAATCAAATTCCCTTGCTCAAATGTATAAGCAGCACTCTGGACATACAGCTTCCCACCTGCCCAGATGGCATAGCTAATGATGAGGGAGGATAAGGGATTTTGATCCTATTGAAAATAGGGTGTGCTTCAAAAATGCATTCTGACAAATTGCGCCAATGTTTAATGACTCCTAGAACCTTTTGCCACAATATAATTATCAGCCAACAAAGTAGGCCAGACTAAGAAACCAATACCATTTAACTCAAGGTTGACTCAGCCTTCCATCCTTCCGAGGTAGGTAAAATGAGGACCCGGTTTGTGGGGGCAATAAGCTGACTTTGTATAAAAAAGAACACCGCTTAGGGGGCCCCCGAAAGCTCTACTAAGCAGGTATATACAAAAGTATGAAGGCTATTGCTTAACGCATTGTAAGTCGCCCTGAGTCTCCGGAGAAGGGCGGCATATAAATCGAACCAATAAATAAATAAATAAATAAACTCAGGATTACTTTTATTATAGTTGTCACAGGAACAGAATCTTGCAAATCTGATGTGCTTCCCCTGATTTTATCTTTGTGAGAACTAGGGAGAGGCTTGTCTGAGATATTTTCTCATACTCAGGTCCCTATTATCTATAGCACCTCTTCCTCAAAGAATGCCTGAACTCTCAAAATGCAATGTGCATGCCCCGCACATGTGTCCCACCCCAGCACATGCATGTGCATGCCCCCACACATGCCCCCGTGCATGCACGTATGGCTCCCTGTATGTGTCCCCAGTGCGCATGCACACGCAGGACCCCCACCCGTGCCCACCCCCTGCGCATACACAAGTGCCCCCTGCACACGCTCCCCGCATGCACACACGACCCCCGCATGTGCTTGCCCCGCACATGGGTGCGTGGCCCCTCCCACATGCCCACCCCCATGCACCCATCCCCTGCACATGTATGGCATAGACCCAAAGTTCAGCTGGCTGGTGGGAGGCATGTGTGCATATGTGGCAGAGCTGAACTGGGGTGACGGCTCGCGTGTCCACAGAGAGGGCGCTGCATGCCACCTCTGGCACACATGCCATAGGTTTGCCATCATGGCCCTATAATAATTTCTTTTTATTATGATCATGGAGGAAGAGGTTATGACAGATGTGCAAAATATACTTGTAGAACAGGGCTCATTGACATTAGATAGCAATTGCTTTTGATTGGGGAAATGATGATTGGATAATACAATAAAATGTACTTTTTAATCCAAACTACTGTTAACAAATGATCAGCTCAGTAAACATAATGCCCTATAAATATAAATAGATATTAGAAACTGACAATAAGGAAACAGAGCAACTCATTCAGAACTTTATTTGCTGCTTATCTTTAAACAGAATTGCCCATATAGTCAGCACATACTTTCAATGCTCAATAAATTAACTATTTAGGACAATGTTTGCTCAAATTATAAAAGATGCATTCTAAAAAACTAATAACCAATATGCAATGTTACCTGGGTACTTGCCACATAAAGACATGATTTTAATAGCCTCCCGTGACATGGTTCAATCATTAGCCTAAATGCTCAGATACAGGTTATAAACCATAGATACCAGATTCAAACTAAGCCATGCTAAGCCAAAATCTAATATATCTTGAGTTTCATGTGAAATTTTTTGGAAAAGAGGTTTTTGGAATAAACTACTTAAAAACATTAACTGAGAATTGTACTGTTGTATTGTTAGAAAAGAACAATAAAAGCATTTGTTTTCTAATTTGGAATTTATCTTAGCTATTTTTCTTTAGATTATAATGTTATTTTAATGGATAATTTTATATTATTAAGATAAAAATGGAAGATAGTTTATATAGTTCTTGGTCAATCCATTTTTCTCCCCTTAAGGTACAAGCAAATGCCAAAGTTTTGTCCATGTACTAAAAGAAATGTGCACTTAGCTGTTTCTTATCCATATCCAACTGAACATTTCTGCACCAGTGCCAAATCCGTAGTAATTTATTAGCCTTTGATGAACAAACCAAAATATCATACTTTCATTCATAGCGCCATCTCATGAAACTATTTTTTCCGGATTCTTGGGGAAGTTGAAATATTTCTGAAGAACATCAGGAACTGTTGTTTTGGCTTACTTAGTGAATAGATAATTGCTTTCCAACACTGTATTTTTTTAGGAAATGATGTGAGTGTTGGATTGTTCCTAGACAGGGCCAGCAATGTTTTTAAACAATTTCAATTTATTCCCTAAATTGTTTTTAAACAAAGCACATATATGTGATTTCAAAAGAAACAAGGACTGTGAGGACATTTTGTCTAAATCCCTGCAGCTAAATCAGACTTTATGTAGATAAGATTTTGGCTCAGACAAATAGATCACGTGACTGAAAGCATTCTTTTTCTTTTTCCTGTTTTCAGATAAAGAAAAGAAAAAGGAGAAAAAAAGGACTCCCAAACAAAACCTATTATGATAGCCATTGAAAAAATTATTTACATAAAACAAGATTATCTACAATCAGAAAATGCTTCTGGCAGATAATACATTGTTTCTATGTGATTCAGAACCAAGATTCTGAAATTTAAGAATAACAATTTGGATGATTAAGAATATTTGAATGACAGTTATAAGAATGCAAATTTATAGTACTATTTGTGAACCTAGATCAGGGGTGTCAAACTTGTGGCCTGTGGGCCAGATGCGTCACGCGTTGGCCATGCCCACCCCTGTTTTAGCGAAGGGGGAAAAAGTTGTGATATGTCAAGTAATTACGTGTCCTCACGAATTTGACACCCCTTACCTAGATAGTTCGAAGGAAACACTATTCAGTTGCAAGAGTAATTGTGGATTTTTAATAGTTTAATTGCCTCATTTTTGTTAGATAACTTCGTTAGCACACCAACCATTTATGCCAAGTAAACTAACCCTAAAGATCAGCCAGAGTATTTGAAGAAAAAAAAAAAATGATCCACAGGTATTTCAGAAACCTGAATGATCCTAGAATAGATTCAGCCAGCACTTCTACCTACAGTATTAAAAACAATTTTTTTAAAAGAAATTCCTGGGCTGCTCAGATAAAACAAAGATATTATTCAGTTAAGTGTAATGTAATATGAGCAAGCAGTTAAAAAGAAAAGAAAAAAAAAATGCTGGATGAGTTTGACAGTCCAGTGATAGAAAAAGCCTGACCTTTAAGTGGTGAATATTTCTTCATTGTAACACAGATTAAAATGGTTTAAAAAGTTGACATTATCAATCTACATATTGATGTACCTGCAAAACACTACAGGAGCAGGGAGAGCATCTGCATGTCACTCCCTAAAGTTCCCTTCCTGGATCAGCCAAGTTTTAATACCGGTAGCTTGACATGATAGAGGACACTCTGATGGGGGCAGGGAGAAATGGGGAACAACATTCGGAAGCCCTGACAATATTTTCCTAGAATAGGGACCTCCTCCCCATAAGACCTGTGTGAGGTCAGATACCACTGGGAACAGGCAATCCCTCAGATAGGGCTATAAAACCATAACCAACACTTTGACTTGTACCTATTAAATAGTGCAGCTCTGAGAGGAGTGGCATTATGTGGACAACCTAACTGAACTGCTGTTTTCTGCACTAACTTACCTTCCAAATGATCTTCCAGAGCAGACACATGGAGAATGCATTGCAATTTTTCAATCCAGAAGTTACCAAAGCATATTTGATTATGCATATTAAGACTACTGGTCCGTGAAAGGTTGTAACCAGAGCACAAAATGGATGAGAAAGTGGAAGAGAGAATAAACAATAATAATCAAGAGGCTGCTCAGGAAAGTGAGTTGACAACATATTCACAAATGACAAATAGTTCAGAGCAAGAAATGTTTCATTTTTTCATATCAGTCAGAGATTTCTCCTTAATTCATTATAAATGAGAGATGAAGACTCATAATGTCAAAGATTCTGTAGTAATTAAAATATCTTACTTGGAATCTGTGTATTTCTTACTTCCTCGATCATTGCCAGTTGTAAGGGTCTTGACAGTGGAGCTCTATAAGGTCATTTTGGTCCATAGCTGCCACCCCTCCATTGAGTGGGAACTTTAAATCCAGAAGAGCCCTAGGATTGCAAATCTGTTTTAAATGATGGCGTTCAACCTGTCAAGAACCAATGATGAAATATCACTGGATTTGGTGACCATGCATCAGAAGCTGTAGCCTCTGAACCCACATCTACTCCATCTTTAGGGGCAGGGGTGAAATGCTCCCGGTTCGGACCGGCTCGAGCGAGTAGGTAGCGACGGCGGCAGGCAGTTCGGAGAACCAGTAGCAAAAATCCCTTCCCCTCCCAGCCTCCAGCTTGCTTACCTCAGCTGCTGGTCACAACGCCTGCCTTGCTTCGCTTTCTGTAATCCCTGCAATCCATTGCATCAAAAAGCAACTGAATCTCCCTGCCTGCAATCAAGCTCATCGGTGAGCAGCTCTATCTGCCTGCCTGCCTGCCTGCAAGTTTTTCCCCCCTTTGGGAGCTTTAAAAGAAATAGTTAATTAGGGGTTTTTTTAGTTCTTTTTTTAGACCTAGCCATTTAAAGTTTAGGAAGTTTTAAATTTAGCTGCTTTTATATAAAAATAAAAATAAAAATAAAATAATATTTGTGCAGGTTTCTGAGATTTTGTGTGTTTCTGTAGTGTTTCACTCTAACTATACAAACACACAAAATCTCACAAAGCTGTATGTGGAATTTTGTGTGTGTAAAGTGTGAAAGTTGGTTTTTTGGGCTTTTTGTGGTTGTGTGAGGTTCCTGCTTGTTGCAGGGGCCATTTTGGGTCTAGCACAGCTGCTTTTACCTTGTGGGTGAGCCAGTTGTGTTGTGTTGTCTTTTGTAGGTTAAAAAAGGGCAACAAAGTGACGTCGACTTGGCCACACCCACCTGACCAACAAGCCATGCCCACCCAGTCACCTGACCAACAAGCCCCACCCACTAATTAAGCCACACCCACAGAACCGGTAGCGAAAATTTTTAGATTTCACCCCTGTTTAGGGGATTGAGTACACCCAACCAGATCCTAACAATCTCTAGGAATCTTGTTCAATCTAGAATTGAGATGCTCAATTTTTAAATACACTGTTGATATCTGAACCTATAGCAAAGGATGAATTCTCCCAGTGGCTCTATATATAGATATATATAGTAGGAGAGTTGAACCCTTAAGGACCTCACAATGAAAGGCTTTCTGACTTGACCTCTACCTCAGGAGTGGGTTCTAAAATTTTTTACTACCGGTTCTGTGGGCGTGGCTTATTTTGTGGGCATGGCTTGACGGTCATGTGACAATTATTTAGGATTTAGCAGAGGTACTGGTCTACCAGGCTTTTAACAGCTTGCAGAGCTGTATTGATCTACCCATTTATTTTTGCAGACACTGATCTACTCATGTATTTTGGCGTCATATCGTCACCGCTACCGGCTCGGGGAAACCGGGCCAAACCGGGAGGAACCCACCACTGCTCTACCTCCCACCATCAGTGACTCAACAACCAATCCCAGAGGAAGCGTAGAACCATTGTAACATCATATATTACACTTTGAATCCCTGGAGAAAGTTTAGAAGGATACTGCAATCAATGGTGTTGAAGGTTTCTCATAGATCAAAGAAGAATAGGTGGTCATATTTCACCCATTCTGGTCTCATCACAGGTAATCAACAAGAGTGATCGGTGTGATCATGGTATAACAGCTTGACTAAGAAAGTTTCACAGAGTCCTTTCTTCTGAGATCTTCCACACCACAACCACTTTCTCAACAAGCTTAATTAAAAATGACAACTTAGAAACTAGCTGATAGTTCTTTAAACTAGCTGGGTGAAGCAATAGTTTCTTCATCATGGGTACATCACCACCTCTTTTAAAGCTGGTGGTCTCCCTCCAGGATACATTTACCATTGCTCTCACCCAGCCTCTGCCACCTCCATAAAGGGAGTGGTGATGTAACCCATAAGAAGTAAAGTTGATACTACAAAGGACTTTTTCCATGCATCAGGAGCAAGAAACTTAAATTCACCCTGGATAATCATGCCAGGTAAAGTCTAGCTCACTTCAGTTAGATCTGCCCAGTTGGCAGATCTGAGATCAGAACAATTTTGTCCCCTAGATCAGGGGTGAAATCTACTTACCTTCCTTAGCGGTTTGGGAGCATTTCAGCCCTGCTCTAGATGCACTGCAAACTCTTCCCAGTGGCCTAAAAGATGTTCTCTTGGTCTGCTTTTCCCAAAAATGGACAGAAACCAGACAATTCCTTAGAGAGTTGGGTTGTTAAAGTGAGGCAAGTTGTACCCATTCACCTTTGCATCTTGCGTGGAACTAATCCCAGTGACTCTCTTCACTGCAGTCTGTGTATTCAGAGAAAATTAATTTTTATACTGGTTTTATTGTTCAGAAGTAATTGATTGACAAATCTATTTGCCTTCTTATGATCTCTTCCTCTGGGCTTCTGCATTCTCCTCAGTTTCTTGAGCATGATAAACAATTTGGTACTGCACTGGATTGTTGTAACCACAAACGTGTTGGTGCAAAAACATTTTTGAAGAAAATGGTGCAGGCTACCAGATTAATATATAAATAGTATTGGAAGATAGGGTTGTCAAAAACAGGTAGCAATAATCTCACTCTCGTTTTGAAAGTTTGTTAAATTCTTCTACTGCCATCTGTTGATGAGAAACAAACTGCAGCAGTTCTATCAGTGGTTTGCTTTCTTATGAAAGTGAAGTTTTGGATCAAACACAATTCCTGGAAATTTCTTATATGTTGCCCATGTTGGGTTTTTTTCCCGCTCTTACAATATGGAAGTGGTTTTCCACTGCCTTATTTTCAAGATCTTTTCCCAGTCCAGTCTAGTCTACAGCCCTGGTATTTCCTGGTAGTTTTCCAAGAATTAATCAGGGCTGACCCAGCTTAACCGTCTGAGATCAGCCAAGTCATAGTCTTATTTCTTGTAAAGTGTGGAACAAACAATAATGTACCAGGAATTTATTTTACATATTCAATGAATACCATTTTGACATCTAAGTACAAGCATTCATTTCCCTCTAATAATTAACTCAGCTGGTGAGTAGTAGGAAGTTGGTAATCTGATCAAGTTGTTTCTTTTGAGAAACAAGAGAAAAGTGTTGGAATGCTGAAGGAAATCCCAAGGTTTTAGAATAATAAAAAAGCTTTATTTATGTATTTATGGTCTGTAGACCTGCCTATCTCACAGCAGTGACTGAACAGGGTACAAAAATTAAAACCACCACCACAACCCATGACACTCTGGGTCAAAACAATAACTCTCTAAACAAAAATCTATATCACCATCAGAGCTTGCCTACCTTCTAGCTCAAATGGGGTAGGGTTAAAATAAAACACCAGGTCAATCAAACAAGGTTGAAACATGCTCAATGGATAGATGAATAACTACATTTGGTTGTTCTCCCTTCCCCACATAAACATCACAGGAATGGTTTGTTAATATTTCTCATATTATTATTTTTTACAAATTAAAGGGACAATTTTTTGCCATATAATTTTTCAACTCTGTTTTTCTCTCTTAATATAGTTTTTAATAATGGCTTTACTGTAATTTGTATGTTTCTTATTTGCATTTGTTTATTGTTTTTTTTAAAATTGTGAGTCACTCAATATGTAAGATGAGCAGCTATATAAACTAAATGAACAAATAAATAAGTCAATTATCAGGAGTGATGGGAGAGGAAAAAGTGAACAAATATATTTGTTAAATACATTTTTAAGATTAAGGGTTGGACATTTATTGGTATTCAGCTATATTAAAAAGTGATTTGGATTAAAGCCGGTTGATGTTGCGGCGAGATCAGAAGTGAGGAGCAGGTCTCCGCACTCCCACGCTGCGTTCTCCCTGTTGGAGGGCTCCGAAAGGAGCTAAAGCCACCCTGTAGGGGTGGTGAAGTAAAGAGGGGTGCCCTGTAGGTCATGGAGAGCTACAACTCTCCTGCTAGGCCCAGGGCTTCTTCCCTCTCAGCCACGACGAGAAGAGGCAGTCATCATGGCTGCCATGAAGCTAGAACAGCCAAGGCAACAAGAAATGTGCAGGAGCGGTGTAGGTGAACACTGACTGGAGCTGGGTGAGAAGATTCCTTTTTTATTTAGACCCTAACTTTAAAAGAAAAAAAAAAGAAGAAAATCCAGGAAAAGAGACTCTTAGAACTATTTTTTAAAGTGGCAAATAACCAGAGAGAAAAATTCTAGACCCAAAAGAAAGGAACTAAGGTGAGAAAAGCTAAAGACCTTTTAAAACATAGAAAACAGGACTTTTAACTGGGTAGGTGTTGTTCTGGAAAGGCATTATAAAATGCTGGAACTATCTACTTGAATAGCTGACTTTGCTCCCATAAACTGAATTAAATTTGGATTAATCGATTTGTCAGACTCAAAACAACACTGAAACCTAAACTGAGGGCACCATCTACTGGTGAATGGAAAATATACCATACCTCTACAAGCCTGCAAAATTTCTGATGAGAGAAATAAATAACATTCATCTAGAGGACTGTGGTGATACTCAGTGTTCTATAACTATCTACTTTATAATTACTGGACTCTAATGTGAGAATAAGGAAGACCTTTAAGTAAAGTAAAGTGACTTTTGATTTTTGGAAAGCTGCCAGGACTACTGAGGAGCAACACTGGACCTGAATATATTGTCTTTGGACTAATGAGTAAGAGCGTGACTTACCAAAATATGACAAGATGCTCCATCAGGGGGAAATGAGTGAGATTTCAAAAGAAATGGTATTGATGTTTCAAAAGCATTAGGGATACTATGACCAAGAATCACAGAGAGATGAAGAACCTAGTGCAAGGCATAAATGGGAAAATAGAAAATATCCTACAACTGATAATGAATGAAGATCAAAGAGTCCAGGAAAGAGAGAAGACAACAAAAAGAACGGAGGAAAAGATGCCAATAAAACAAGGAGAAGGAGAAGACGATAAAGATAATAATGACTGATGAAATAAACCAAGCGAAAAGTACTTTAAGAGATTGAAAAATGTAATAGGATAAAATGGAAGATACTTTTGAAAGGGAGATAGGGGCTTGGGTGGACACTCTGGAGATCTGGCAGTTTAGGTGGGTAGAGATGGGAGTAATATTCAGACTGAATGGTGAAGATGCAGATGTTGATAGAGGCAAAGATATAACAGAGGAGTATGGGAGGCAGGCTAAAAAACAAGAATTAAAGTATTAAAACAGGCAAGAGATGACGGATAGAAAGGAAATATTTTTTTCCTAATATAATGATGGCCTGATTATAAACTAGAATAGAGGTAAAAATAAGAATGCACTTTTATATAAAGCAATAAGATAGAAAGATTGGAGGTTGAAATATGATATTATTACGTATGTTTAAATAATATGATGATTGGTATTAGGATGGTGTATTGAAACATTGAATAATTAAATAATGAAGGACTATGTCTTAATATAAGCATGTATATTAACATTAGGATTAGTAATGGTGGTCTGACTAGAAGCTAGAATAGAGGTAGAAATAAGAAATAGGGGGAATATTAGCACATATAATTTTTATATAATAAAATATAAACAATAACTAGATGGAAAGATTAGAGGCTGAAAGATGGTATTACTATGTATGCTCAAATAATATCATTGGCATTAAAATGGAACATTGAAATATTGAATTATTTTAAAACAAATATGTATATTAATACTAGGATTACATAAATTATGTATTATTATTATTGTTATTGTTGTTGTTGTTGTTATTGTTATTACTACTACTTGTATCAAAATGAATTATACCCAGAGGCCACACTGTTCATGTATTGATATTGATGTATATTTAAAAATAAAAATCCAATAAAACTTAAAAAAAAAAAACCAAGTGATTCTTTGCAGATTCTAGGAAACCATGAAAAAGTCAAATGGATGATCTCAAAGTCTAGGAGGAAAACTTCCAGAAATGATCTCAGCAGCAAGGAATTATTTTGAGATATTTATAAAAAAGTAGAAGTTGTTAATTTTAGGAGGGATTTTCTCACAATCTCAAATTCTATGCTTGGATAGCTTCTGCCCATCAGCATTTACATGGCCACGAGTCTTTTACAGAGATTAAAAAGATTTCTGTTATAAATGCTGATGGGAGTACGGCTATTCCATTGCAATATAGACCTTGTTAATTATAGAGCCATTAACCTACTTAATATGATTAGAAAGGCTCACATAATGGAAATGGAGGGATTGGACTAAAGAGGAGACTGGCATTTTAAAAAAAGAAACAAAATCTGATAATTTTTCCTACAGAGTACTAGTAAAAAATGGAACTAGATCCATACTAGATCACTGGAAGTAGGCAATTATATGAAACTGATTTACTCTGGTTCATTCGTTCCTAATCTTTTAAATATTTATTTGAAGTTTTGTTTGCTCTGTGTGAAAAATTATTCAGATCCAGGTACTGTTTAATAATTAGGCAACATGTATGGCTTTTGAAGTTTTTCCTAAAAAGCGGGGAATGGGAGGGGTGGGGTGGGGTTCTCCGTACTGTCTGAAAAATTGGCAGATCTGTACCTTCAAGAGGAAGCAGAATGTCCAAAAAATGCTATGCCAACTGGATGGGTAACATAATTATAACAGCAAACAAGGAAGGGTTGTTAAGAGCAATGGGAAATAAGAGATGGATGAAAAGACAGGAAATTAAGAACAAATAAAACCATAAATCAAAATCGGTTATTAGAGAATAATGATGACAGAATGTGGTGTTTTTTTTTTGTCCCTATTTTCAAAAACCAAACAGGTAGGTAAATAAAAGAAAATGAAACCTCACAATGAAGACAGAGAGAAATAAGGAAGAGAGAAGAAAATGAAGATTGGGAAGAAAGTGAGTTAATGTTAACAGGAACAACAAATAGGAAAAAAATGTTCCTAGCTAGCAAGAAAGTCAGAATACAATATGGAATATTTATTTATTTATTTGTTTGTTTGTTTGATTTATATATGCCGCCCTTCTCTGGAGGCTCAGGGCGGCTTACAATGCATTAAGCAATAGCCTTCATACTTTTGTATAGACCTGCTTAGTAGGGCTTTTTGGCCCCCCCTGAGCGGTGTTCTATTTTATACAAAGTCAGCTTATTGCCCTCACAAACCGGGTCCTCAAAGTACATGTATGGAACAGAGTAGAGTGTGGAACAGAGTACAGTATGCGGGTGAGGGATGAAGGTGAAGATTCAATAAGAAATTTTCAGGTGAAGCTGTGAGCTATTGCTAAACAGGTACTGTAACAGATGGAAAATATATAAAGACTCATGAAGTGGAAGGACAAGACTTAACTCTGCCATGCCAAGCAAGTGAGAATTGACATTCTTTTTTTTTTTAAATTTATTTTTTTATTTGATTTATATGCCGCCCTTCTCCGGAGACTCAGGGCGGCTTACAGTACGTTAAGCCAGTGGTCCCCAACCTTTTTATCGCCGCGGCCCATTGAGCGCGCGCAGGGGTGGGGGCACGGCCCAGGAGCTTTTGCGCACGGCCCATTGCGCACGGCCCAGGAGCTTTTGCGCACGGCCCAGGAGCCTTTGCGCTGCAGCGTTCATGTCCCCCGGCCGCTGCGCGGCCCGGTGCCAGGTACTCCACGGCCCGGCACCGGTCCGCGGACCGGGGGTTGGGGACCACTGCGTTAAGCAATAGCCTTCATACTTTTGTATATTTTATACAAAGTCAGCTTATTGCCCCCACAAACTGGGTCCTCAATTTACCTACCTTAGAAAGGATGGAAGGCCTTGAGCCTGGCAAGATTCGAACTTACTTTAATTGCAGACATCTGGTGTTAAATTACAGTGCCTTGTCTGCAGAGCTATCCAGGCTCCTGACATTCTTGTCTTCTGACAAATAAAGATGTCAGTGCCAGGTCTGATAGGCATTTCTCCACCACCTTTTTTTCAGAGTTATAAATTGGAAGAGGTGCTCTGGGGCTACTATGTCTTTAATTTATTCTGTTATAAAAACCAAATTCAATATCCAAGGCAAAATGCTATAGTAGCAAGAGCATCAATACGTCCTTTGAGGATTAATGCACCCAGAACTGTTAAAGACCTTTTTGTAATAAACCTTGAACTCTGTTAATTTACTCTTCCATCGAGCAAGATGGGGCTACACAGATATGAAAAACTGTTTTCCCCTGAATAGGGATTTCATTAGGAGTTCTTCTTTCTCCAGTAGAGAAATATTTTAAAGTCACCTATTGCCCCCCTCCTCTCACAACTCACGAGAGAGTTAACAACATTCCAGCATACCTCAATGTTGGCAAATGGAGTTTTAGTCTAGCTACCTGATGATGATTGATGAAGCTTGTCAGCTATACAGTAGTGGATAGAGCAGCTTGGCAGAAGTTCAGTGTTATTGAAAGAAATCAGAAATACTTATTCCATCTCCTCTGCTCACTTTAATCACATTATCAACAGACTGTCAGGATAGTCTTGACACTAAGCCATACATTCACACAAGCAGCCTATTGTTGGCTTATTGCAATTGCAACACAGATAATGCGTAATTTTGTTTTACATTTCTCTATTTTATAGACTGCCTGTTAAAATAACACTCAATTTTCTTGCCTTTTGCCTAACTTATTTCAACTTTCACCTTGTTATTGCTTTTTTTAAACAGATAAAATGGCAAAGAACTAAATCATGAACTTTGCTCACAGTATGCAGATATTTAATACATATTAAATCATGGAGTTCACCCACAAATTAATTATGCTCCAGAATACTATTTACTTGTAAAACACAATTTGATCTGCAAGAACACTGTTCATTTGCAGTGTTCACCAAAAGGGCTCAACCCCCTATAATGTTAAATATTGTCAGTGAAAGGCTGCAGAGGATTCAAAGCCAACACAGGCTTCAAAGTGCATGTGGAGCCAAAAGTAGCATCTGTAAAGAAACATGTTAAAGAAGCAGTGATTTTTCTTAAGACTCATGTGAGTGTCATTTGCAGCTGCAGCATGATCCTGAGAAAGTCTGAGATGATCCTGAAGATATTATAGGCACATCACTGCATACTACAAATTGCATTTTGCCTTTGAAACTACACAACCCTATTCCAGAGCTTTTCAGGCCATTAAACATACGAGAGTATTTTTTTGTATGACACACAGGAATACTAATAGGATAAATACATACCTCAAAGACAGCCAACCTAATACCCTCCCATTCTCTCTAGTCAGAACAAATTCAGTGCAATGATGACTTCTTTCTCAGGGTTTTTAAAACTTATCCTGATAACCTTAGTAACATAAAGAATTCATTCATGGACTTCAGACTATTATACTCTCAAGTTATGTGGCCTTTTACAGTTATTAACTCTACACGTCAGGCCATTGCTGTATGTCTGCACATAATTATGACCCCTCCCTGCCTCCAACTGAAGCGAATTCTTCAGGGAAAGTAACAGGAGAGCTCATTGAAAGGACTAAAAAAAAGCATACCTAATTATTCATTTTGTAAATAGACTTTAACTGTGCACTTAACCTGGTTTTGTTGAAGTACAATACTGTTATTGCTGCTACCAAACCTTTTGTGTGTGTGTTTGAAACAATCACTCAGTGCAAGGAACCAATTTCAATTGCAACTTAGCACTTTTGGTTTTGGTCCCCGTTATTTTTATCTAGATTCTAATACTGTGCTGGAAATCCTGAAACTTGAAAACTGCCAGAAAATGCCAGAAGAGAGTTTCTTAAAGAGCCTGTTTTGGGAGGTCCTTCTCCAAAGCTGCATATTGTTCTTTAAGATGCTCCATAGCTTTTGTATGCTCTTCATTGACCATTGTTTTCAGGCGGTGCTGCTCCTTCATGAATTCCTCCCAGTCAGCTATACGTTGGGCTTCACCAGCTCTTAGTTTCTCAGTCTGAAGCTGAGGAGAAAAAGCAGGTAATAAATGTTGAATCTAGCAATGAAGAGATAAAACAGTTTACTGTACATTGCAATGAGGATATCTGTTTAAAAGAAGTTATTTTTCCTTATTTTATGAAAATGTGTAGTTTGTACCAATAAATCAATCGATAAACTCACAAACAGAAAGGAAAAAAAGAAAAATCAATCAAATCTTTGCTAGGGCCTTTGGGCCACAATGATAGAATATAAAGAACTGCAATTATAAAAGTATTTTAAAATGCAATAAAATTACATAAAATACATCATTAGAGTAACTGTAGTACAAACAGCAGTGGCAATCACCAAACTTTGTGCTAAGCATCAATTGTAGGTTGGACGGATACAACACATGATAGCACAAAATCAGGCAACCTGGTAAGATGTGTCAAGATCCTGATTAGACAGAAGCAGTGTCAGACATTGTGCTATTTATCAGGGTAGTCCTTTCAAATGAGATATGTATCTTCCTTGATTTCCTATAGAGCAGGGATGTCCAACCTTGGCAACTTTAAAACCCATGGACTTCAACTTTCAGAATTCTGGCTGGCTGGGGAATTCTGGGGGTTGAAGTCCACATGTCTTTAAATTGCCAAAGTTGGACACCGTGCTACAAAAGAACATATAGCTTAGGGATTCTACACAGCCATTACCACATTGGCATAAGCAGTGCTGAAAAGGGATGTTTTTATATTGTCTGCCCTCCCCCCCAAAACCCCAAAGGGAGTAGTGCAGCCAACCAGGCCAAGGTAAAAACCTTGAGATGGCATATATCCATTTGAGAAGAAAAGATTCAGAATAGTGGTCTCTGAAACATTTCCTCATATACATGTTCACTCATTGTACCTGTTTGGATCAATGGCTGTCCTATTATTCAACGTTTGAAATTATATTTTGATCTACACAAGATAGATTATTAGATAGTCCTTGACTAACAGCCATTTGTTTAGCTACTATTCGGAGTTATGATGGTGCTGAAAAATATGGCTTATAACCAGTGATGGGATTCAGCCGGTTTGTGAGGGAAAGAGAAGGACGCTTTCCCTCTTTCTTCTCCCTGCTCCTCCTCCTTCCCTTGTGCCAGCCGCTCTGTTGCCTGTTTCTTCCTTGCAGCGCAGTGCCCAGGGTCCCCTTTAATAGCGGGGTGGGGGGGTGGGGGTAATTTAAGAACTGGTTTGCCCAGGGTCAGGTTGGCCATCATGGGAGGTTCATCTCACATGTGCGGCAGAGCTCGAGGATGGAGATGGGCCATGCCACCCACGACAGCCAACCTGACCCTGGGCAAACCGGTTGTTAAATTATTTGAATCCACCACTGCTTACAACCTACTCCTTACATGACCATTGCAGTATCCTCTCAATTACATGAACATAATTCAGATGGTTGGCATAAATTTTGCATTAATGTTGACTACAGTGCCTGAGGATCATGTGATCGCCTTCCCAGCTGGCTTCTGACAAGTAAAGTCAATAGGAAAACAGGCAAGGGAGGTCACAAGTCATGATCACATGATATCTCTCATTTAATGATCAAGGCAATAAATGTCATAAAATTGGATGCAATCATGTGCTGCCACAGAAAAGACATGCCTCTGGGTTCTTCAAGATGGCATTGTGTGATTGATGGGATCCACAACATGCCCATTCAACCTGACCTCATCAGGTGGATAGAAATGTGGAAACAGGCAGTCCCTGAAGTAGCCTGGCTTGATGTCATGAAAGGATTTATAGGTGATAAACAGCACTTGGGAGTCAACTGGTGCATTTCAGAATGCTGAGGAGACACAATATACTATGATACATCCATCCATGTTACCCCATTTTGGGCCAACTGCAGCTTCCAGATGGTTTTCAAGAGCAGCCCCATATATACCACATTACAGAAATCCAATCAGGAGAAGACTAAGGTCTGAGTAACTTCCTGATAGTCTAACCCAGGGGTGTAAAATTCGCGGCATCATGGCAGCATCATGTGACATATTGTGATTTTCTCCGTTTGCTAAACCGGGCATGGGTGTGGCCAGCATGTGTCACATCCGGCCTGTGGGCCACGAGTTTGACAGCCCTGGTCTAATAGTAAGCTAAAAAGAGATAAAATTGTCTAAGACATTTTACTTAAAGAAAAACAACTGAGAGCAATCAATAATGGACAGAGTATAATCTCCCTCAAAATAGTTCTCAAAGCATTAGGAGAACTGCACTGGATGAATACTTGCCATAGCATTCTTTGGCACACTTTTAATCTACAGAATGTATCCTGCAGCAAAGGAGGCCTTATGTCTTTCTGAGTGAATATCATAGAGAAGACCAAGAGTCTGCAATACATTCCAATCTTCAGCATTGGTTAAAAAAGAAAAGCAGCTTTTCCTATGACATCTGCTCTTTCCTCAAACATAATTTATCTTAATGTTCATCTGCTGGTATGCAACATAGCTATAAGAAACTGGGCTGATCAAGGTTGTGCCTTGATGTTTGGCTCCAAAATCAGAAGAGAAGGAAAATATGTGGACTGGGGAGAGGATAGATGTGCAAACTTGCAGTACACTTTCTCCCTCTTAGCACGCTTAGGAAATTTAAGAATGTTATATTTGCACTGCATCTGACAGCATTTTGCCCTTATCAATTACATAGAAATAAGAAATATGAAATTTGCTTCAATCTGCTTATAGTGCTCCTCTATTAGGGCTGAATTTTTTTAAAAAAAGGACTGCCTACTCCTAATTTAGGGAAGCACAGAAGAAAAATATAGAATTAACTTCTTGCACAGTTTTTCCTAATGCTGAGGTTTAAGAATGTGTATTACAAACCAACAGTGTGCCGCCATCTGAGAGGTTCTAGCAAGCTGCATTTTCTTATAATCTGGCCTTTCATGAAATAAGATCCACAGGTATGAAATGCTTTCATTTCAGAAAGCTGTACTCATAATATGTTCAGTGTTTTTGACTGACCAGGAAAGATTTCCATTTCCATTCTGTTGGGTATTTTTTGTTCCATGCAAAACAGGGATTTCCCTTTTCTGTGGCTGTGAACGAAATTCTTAGAAAAACTTTCCACCCATATAGAAGCCGAGATGATATAAAAACTTTGGTATTTTTTAAGCAACTATGAAAGTCTAATTAAAACTGCAGGTTTGCCTATGACTTTTTTTTTTTTTACATCTGGTGTAGCTAATCCAGAAGAAGGTATACTTTTCATCTTCCTGACAATTTTAAAAGAACATCTAGATTTGTTTCAGAACAATTGGTGAATCTCAGAGTTATTTAATTCACATTCTTACATGCAATTTTAATCTGATGGGAATGAAATGTCCATTTTGCAAGTTAAACATGTATATCTTTTGACTGATATACTCCTAAATAATCCTGTTGAAAGCCACACCAGATTAAGAAGTGACCAAATCACAGATTGCTTCAGTGTAAAGCTTTAATAGTATGCATCTGGACAGAAAAGGGAAATAAGCTTGAAGGTACACAGTACACATTTATAAATGTTGAACTAGTTTAATGGATAGACGGAATAATCCTGAGGAAACAGGAGGAAGAAATATTGTACAACCAAGGTAACAGTGAGATAAAATAAATCTGAAGTTAGAGCAGAAGTGTAATTTGAGAAAGCATTTCAGATAGGACCCTCCCTGTCACAAAAAAAGGGGAGGGTGGGGAACACATTCAGACTTATTGTAACATTGCAATAAAAAGTGTACAGTATTCACATTCATGACTTTCTTTTCTTAATCTGGTCTGTCTTGAAGGGATGACCCTCCCCTCCCCAATATTAGATACCCCTTTGTGGCTAAAATAATCCATTTAAAGTCCCTTGTGCCTCCCCCAGCCAGTTGCCTCCCTCTTCCTTAATAAGCTTAATGTTGCTGGTTTATAAATGTGAAATATTAGCATTTACCTGACTTTCTTCCTGTTCTGTTTGCTGCAATGTATGGAACATCTGGTTGGCTACCTGTACTGAAATAAAGTTTATTTACAGTTGTGCAACTCATCATTCCTACTTTTAATGGACAGATCCGTTTTTAATGTGAGAACTACACTGGCTTTGCTCACGCTACTTTAACTCAAAATGTGCTATATACTCATAGGTCTTTCTAATCTAATCTAATCTAATCTAAACATCTCTATGATTTGCTAAGCCTAGTTTAAATATAATTTCTAAACCCTTATAAAAGTAGCTTATAACAATACAGCCCAAGCAGAAAGTGTTAGCTACTTTACATTGAAAATAAGCTCTAACATTAATTGAACTTGGTTAAACACTTTTACTCTATGAACGGAAACCTGGAAAATATGAAAATATATTGTCTGGAACACATCTCTCACCTTTATCTTAAGCTGAAAAATAATAGAGTAAAGGTAGCGCAACACTTTTAAATAACTATGTGCTACCTTAGAGCAAAATCTTATCTTAATCAAACATCCTGTTTTAAGAGAGCCAGCTGGCTGGCAAGTGGAAACCCAGAAACAGGACAAAATTGTACTCTCTCAATTTACATTCCAGAAATTGCTATTGACAGGCATTTTGCCTTTGCATTTGAAACAAATAAAGGGATGTGATAGTAGCAGCTGGCTAACCTGGTTTGAACTTAGTAACTAAACTGGCAAGGCCTTATTAGTCCTTGGAGAGGAGCCATCAAGGAATTCCAGAGCTGCAAGTTAGACAGAAAATTGAAAAATATTTCACCCTTCACCACCACCACTCAAAAAAGAGAGGACAAACCACATACCGTGTTTCCCCGAAAATAAGACCTGGTCTTATATTAATTTTTGCTCCAAAAGACACATTAGGGCTTATTTTCTGGTTAGGTCTTATTTTGGGGGAAATACGGTACTAAATGCAGCCATCTGGCTGACAATCTTAACTGGGGCTTATTTTGGGGGTAGGGCTTATATTATGAGCATCCTGAAAAATCATGCTAGGACTTATTTTCTGGTTGGGTCCTATTTTTGGGGAAACGGTATAACTTATGGCCAAAAACAATTACATGGATATGTCATACAGTTATATAGAGTCAAGTTTGAAACAAAGGAGACCCTGTTTTTTATAGCTGTCCTTAATTGATAGTTACTGATCAGTTTCAATATCTGGTGGAAAAAAGTCACAGTTCACCATTTGTCGAATGGAATTTATCATCATAGGAAAACAAATAGTTAATTTCAGAGGCAGATGTCTAACAAACAGATATCATGAAATCAAATTCTCTATTTTATGGGCAAATTTAACTCATTTAAAGATGGCAATCACAGCAACAGAACATAACACAGCAGGGGAGAGTTTAACCAGCATCTTCTGATTTAACTTTTTTTGCAAATGAAAAGAAGTCCATTTATTTTTCTTTGAAGTGAGATGCTACCAGCAAAGCTCTGTTGCAATTCAGCACAAAGGTAGTCTGTGTTCCCATTGGAGGCCTTGGCCAGGCTCAAGTCCCTAAACCAGGTTAGTCATTACTAGTGGTAGGTTGCCCCCGGTTTGGACCAGTTCTATAGAACTGGTAGTAAAACCGGTGGGAGGCTCTGCCCACCGACCCCGACATCATTAGGAAGCTTCTGTGCATGGGCAGAAGCATGCACGCATGAGCAAAGCAAGCACGCATGGGCGGCCCCATTGCGAACCGATAGTAAAGGTAAGTAGAATCCACCTCTGTTCATTACACGTCAACAAAACTCTCTAGAGAAATGCATTTTTTTCCAATTTCAAAAGGTTGGTGTTTTGAGAATCTATACATTTTAACAGTATTCTTTAAATACAAAAGAATATAAATTTCCCCTTACATCTCTTTAATATTTCATTTAGATTTCCATGCATTACTTCTTCGCATTTTGGCAAAATCTTGTCATTTGCCTCAAATATTGTGTTGTTTAAGTTTTCAAGAACCCGCAATTCTCGGAGACCCCTTTTTTCCTGTTTGAAAAAAAGAAAGGGATAATTCTAAATATTCTACAAAAAAGCTGACATTTTATTAACATCAAATCCAGTTTCACTTAAAAAAGAACTAAACTGAAATTCTATACCCCCTTACTGGAAAGTAAAATTCATTGAACTCAGTGATTTTTACAGCTAATCAGACATATACACATTTTCATTGTGAAACAGATTAAAATATCTAGATTTTTAATTCTTAGACTCCCGTTGACTACATAAGTATTTGGAAATATCTCAGCAGTACTCAGGGAAACGTATTACTGATTAAATATGCTTATGCAGTAACTGCACAATTAATATTCCCACACATTGTATGTTAATACATCCGCACTATTCTTGATTTAAACATCACATTTAAACAATAAGCATTTTTATAATTTTATTTGTTCATTTTATCACCTAGTCTTGAAAGAAAATCACTCTGGCAGATAGAAAGCTACCAGAATTTCATACATTATCTTCTTATTCTTGTTAAAGTTTTGCTGCCATCTTGTGGCAATTATGTTCAATAATGTGTTTGAATTTGGGCATTAAATATTTAAATGCCTTGAAAGGACATTTAATATTTAAATACCTTGAAAGGGCATTTAATATTTAAATGCCTTGAAAGAGCATTTAATATTAAAAAAGCATTTTTCTGCATATTTTACATATTTTTTAAAAAAATGAAAAGTCAGTCTCTCCTATAATTTACATAATATACTACTGCAGCCTTGCTTTTTAATTCGAAATCACATTCTTCCACAAATCCATACTACTTCATTTCAAAACAATAACTAACATACTTCAAATTCTTTGATGAAATAACGAATTTCTCCTTGAATAACTGGTCTGTGGTCCAGAAGTCGGGAATATATTTCGCCAACATCTACAAGAAAAATGATGAATTATAACCTATTTCTATATTACTAGAGATATATAAAAACCTGGGTAGGTTGAGATTTTTTTTTTCTTCCTCTGTAGTTCACCTTCCTCTTTTATAGTAGTTTTTCTCCCTTACAATTTCCCCACAGCTACAGGGAGGAAAATTCCTTCAAAGTAGCAGTATATGAGCCATGGTGGCACAGTGGTTAAAATGCAGTACTGCAGGCTAATTCTGCTTACTAATGGCTGTCAATAGTTCGGCAGTTCAAGTCTCACCGGCTCAAGGTTGACTCAGCCTTTCATCCTTCCAAGGTCGATAAAATGAGGATCCAGATTGTTGGGATATGCTGGCTCTGTGAACCGCATAAAGAGGGCTGTAAAGCAGTATATAAATCTAAGTGCTATTGCTATTAAGGCTTTTTTATCTTGCTTTATAGACAAATCAGTGTCCAAGTTTGTACTGCCATTACAAAAGCCATTTTAATTCCATAAAGTTGAGGAGCTATCAAAGTAAACTTCCTTCTATCAACAGGCACTCAAACATTTGTTGAGTTTTTGAGTATAAAGAGTTGCATGCAACACAATTGCTTTATACCTTAAAGCAAATACACAAAATTATGTCTACAGTCAGACCATTTTACAGAGTAACTTTGTCAAAGGACTTTCCTTGCTAGTTTACCGAGAACAGATTTTTTAATATATATATGAAACCTATACATTTTATTGTACTATTTAGGGTGAAGGATAAAACAGGTAAACAGAACATTTTAAAAAAAGAAAAGAAATGCTAATTTTACTCTTGTCAATTGTTTTGATGTGTCCAAAAAACCCCCAATTCTGTGAAACCCTCAGTTACTCAGCTCAACTAGCTAATCAAAATGCCATCTTTGCTGCCCACTGGAAAAACATTTTCTTTGGTTTTGTGTGTGCATGAGCTCAAGTGGGGAAAGACTAAGGCAAAATAGAACTATCCACAGAAAAACTGTTTTTAGACAGATCTCAATAATTTTCTGAAAGGATCCCATTTTAGATAATAATATGTCTTGGGGCCATGCAATCCCTGGATTTAAAGGCAAAAAGATGCTTTGGAATGCACAAGAGTTGTTGACTCCGGGCATGTTTCATTCATTGACTGACTGACTATGTGCCATCAAATTATTTTTGACTCCTGGCCACCACAATAATTATCTCCATGATGGCCTATCCCTAACTTGTTTTTTTAAGTCTCCCAGCAATGTACTCATCATCACGATAACTGTGGTTGGCAGGTTACAATCAGCAATTTTTAATAAAACATCCACAGGATAATCAATCAAACAAAACAGTGCAAACCGCAAAATACCATCAAAAATAAAAGTTCTAGCAAGAACAGGCAAAAATGGCAAGAGAGAGAAGTAAGTATGCCTTCAGACAGTAAAAGCCCCTCTTAAGCCATCCTTCCATAAGCCAACTCTAACTAAATTCAACTGAATTAGCCTAATACTGATAACTTCCATTTGCTTGACAGATCATGCAGAGTTGGTCTTTCCTCCGGAGGCCATTCCAGGCTCTTAGCTAGGACACAGGCAATTTATTATTTTATCCTTTCTGATTCCTTTCAGAATCCATTGTTGTTGTTTTTTTTAATACATAAAGGGTTAGAATAGTTTGCGCGAATTTCGTCCAAATACCTTTGCTGTCTCAGGACCTTCGCTTCTTCTGCTTCCTTCTGATGTGTCTCAGTTATTGGGCAATAGATCACAAGGAAGGCGGTTCACTGCCAATCACCATTACCATGCCCGCTCTTCTTCCAAAGCAAACTACTCCCTCGTTACTCTAGGGATACTATGTTTGCAATGACCCTATCAGCATGCAAGAGAATTGAAACTTAACGGAGGAAAGCAAAGGGAAAGACCAGCATTTCCTACCTTTAAAAATAGGACAAGAGGACGCGGACCCAAGTGAATCCCTCCTTTTATTGCCGCTTTCAGAAACCGGAGACTCCGCAGTTTTATTGACGCTTAAGGTCCCGGCAGCCCCGCTACTCATTTCACTCAAAGCCTCCCCAGGAGGACCGCAGCGAGACGACTTTGGAGTTCCTCCTTACGAAAGCGCATGCGCAACTGTCATAAGGCTCTCTGGACGGGGCTAGATGTGAGTACTGCGCATGAGCAGGAAGGCTTTCACTTTGCGAAGCCGTTTCCAAAACAACCGGTGGGAGGAATCGTCCTCTATGACGTCAACAGTTGACGTCTCATTGAAGGATTCCCGAATGGCTCGTTCTACTTAGGGTCTACGTCATAGATCGGGAGCTAAGGGGCATGCACAGGGCCGGATTTTCCTATAGGCTAACTAGGCTTCAGCCTAGGGCCTCAAGATCCAGAGGGGCCTACACAGTGTGGGATTCTGGGGGTTCTAGGTGGCTCCGCGGAACCCTTTGTTAAATTGCTGGCTCCCCCGCCCCTCCGCACCACTATTTATTGCCAATAAATAGTGGTGGGCGAGGGGCGGGGGAGCCAGCAATTTAACAAAGGGTTCCGTGTTTTTTTTTTGTAATTTTATTGGCCCCCCGGAGCTTCAGCAGAGGCTAATTGGCCTCCCGGCTCTCAGCTGATTTGTCTCCGCTGTTTTGCTCAGGGCTCTTCTGCTTCCGTGCAAAGAAACGAAACTGAAACTGCTTTGCTGTTGCTGCAAGGTTGGAAAATTAGGCAGGCAGAATTCTTTTCTTTTTCCTCACCAAAAAAGGTACGTGCAGACAATGGGAAATTTAGGGAAAAAGAGAAGAGTTCAGGATTTTAAAACACAACAGAAAAAAAAACTGTATTTAACTAGGGAATTGTAATAATTGAGATACTATTAATTGTATATTTCTGAAAGCAGAAATGGTTAAGTTGTGGTTTGGAGGAATATATGGGGGAAATTATTTGGTTTATTATTATTGGTAAATATAATTAATGGATTTGTAAGTAATTGGATTGCATGGAAATAATTGGAATATTCATGTTCATATTGATTAATATAGAAAAAAGGTAGTTATATAACTAATTGATTTATATTAAAATGTTGAATTTATATTAAACAACTAATATTACATAATTAACCAATGTGAGGATGGATATAAAAATAGATGACAATGGGAAGGGGTATAATATAGAATAGAAGGGAAAAATTGAATTTGATTAAGATTAGAGATGAGGATGAGGGTAATATTGGTTTTTTACAAAAAATAGATGAGGAATAAATATGGCAAAAAGGAAATATAGAAATTGTAAATTTAATTGAAATGACTAAACACTGTTTAAATTTGTGAACCGGCCAAATACTCTGTTCAAAGAAAATACATTGTATGTTTGTATGTGTGTTTCTAATTATTGTTATTTATTCATATTTGTTCTCTTTTATTCTTTAAAGTTTAACAATTCATTCTTTATCTTAATATCTTTATATTTGTTTGGGGTTGGCTTTCTTCCCTTTCATCTTTTTTATTGTATAGCAATCTTTCTCCTCAAACCTACTACCTCTCTTTTCTTTCCTTCTTACTTTCTCTTCCTCCCCCTCTTCTTCTCCTCCCTACTTCCTCTTCCTTTCTCCTTCTCCTCCTCTCTTCCTCCCTCTCTCTCCTACTCTAATTTCCCTTCCCTTCCTTCATCCCTCTCTATTGCTGTATCCTTTTATGCATATGGACTACTCAGAGGGCTGAAAAAGTTATTTCTGACTGGTCCTTGCACTTTTGACCAGTCCTCGAACTTACGACTGTCCTCACATTTTACGTTTTTGCCCTATCTTGTCACCATGGTGAAGAGAAGCAGTTGTGAAATGAGTGATGGTTGTTAAGAAAGCTGCAGGGCATAAATGTGAGGATGGTCATAAGTGTGAGGACCGGTCAAAAGTGCGAGGCCAGTCAGAAATGACTTTTTTCAGCCCTCTGGGTAGTCCTTTTGTGCATATGGATACTCAGAGAGCTGAAAAAGTTATTTCTGACTGGTCCTCGCACTTTTGACCAGTCCTCGAACTTATGACTGTCCTCACATTTTACGTTTTTTCCCTATCTTGTCACCATGGTGAAGAGAAGCAGTTGTGAAATGAGTGACATGGTTGTTAAGAAAGCTGCACGGGCATAAATGTGAGGATGGTCATAAGTGTGAGGACCGGTCAAAAGTGCGAGGCCTAGTCAGAAATGACTTTTTTCAGCCCTCTGAAAAAAGTCTATGCACATAGCCAAGCCCACCCGGTCACATGACGAGCTACCCACGCCTACACAGTCATGTGAGCAGCTAGCCACGCCCACCCAGTCACATGATTGCCAAGCCACACCCCCAACTAAGCCACGCCCACATAACCTGTTAAAAAATTGAATCCCACCACTGGTGAAAGGGCCTCATAAGTGGAATAGCCTAGGGCCTCTTTCAATCTAAATCCGGCCCTGGGCATGCAGTGTGAATATGAATTAGCCAGCAAGCTACGTCTCCACCTTTTTGAAGAAATTTTTGAAGAGATCTAGATCTACAGGTAGATGGTGAAGAGTATTTCCATCTATTTAAAAATATATCCCTTCCTAACTTCCAGTTTCCGTATACTGTGCAACAAATATTGCATCAGGAACAATACATTTTAAACGAAGCAAATCAGCTTCATTCCAGCAACGTATTATTTCACACTTTTAGTGAAATGCTGCTAATGTCATGCTTAGTCTTGCAGGAAATGGAAACAAGATTAGAGAAGCTTGGCTGTTATGTTCTTTAATTTACAAGCAAATTTGAGTATTTGTGAAATCTCCCTGATGTATATGAGGAAACTTCCTTTGCTGGTTGACAGATCCCAGAAGGTATTCATAGAATCATAGTAAGGGTCAAAGGATCTTAGACATCATTTACTCCAACCTCATAAATATTGAAGGAATGCATGATAGTAATGTCCCCAATGGAGGGCCATTTGGTCTTTGCTTAACCACCTGGAGTAGTGTAATTTTTTTTATTAGTTTTTCAGAACATAAAAAACAAAGAAAATGGACATAATGGGAAACTGGGAGAAAAGGGGGGAAAGGAGAAAGTATGGGCAAGAAGGGTTTGTAAAAGAAAAAAAAGGCTTTGACTTCTTACTCATTTTAGCACAGTAGAAGATAATAAAATTACAACCTCAACTTCTTACTTTTACACAATGATATATATTAGCCATTTCTATAACAGCAAACCTGCCTAATCAGCAAATTAAAAGTTTCATTTTTTTCCATCATAAAACCCAGAAGCGGTTTCCAAGTGGAAACAAAATTAGATATATTCTTTTCTTTAAATAACACAATCAATTTAATTGTCTCTAATATTATTTCTTGCTGTGGAAAATAATATATATATTCATTAATAAGAACTTTCTCAGATGTTTTAACCTTAAAGGGTGTAAACTTTTTTTAAACATCCATTTTAAAACTCTAAACTTTTCTTTGAAAATATTTATAAAATCAATAAGATTTTCCTGATGTCAATAAAAATCATCATTTTTGTCATTTAAATCTTTTGTTTCATTTACCGGTCTTCAGGAACAATGGTTACTAGTTCTGTCCTCCTGACAGCATTTCAGGTACTTTAAGATAGTTACTACATCTCAGGCTAAATATACCCACATCTCCAACCATTCTTCATACAATTTTCCCTTCAGGACCCTTATTGTTTTGACTATTAAAATCTGGAAACTTCCCAAAGGAACTTTTTCCAAAAGGTAACTAGATTATATTGGGGTTTTTTTTCTTTGACAATGTTTCGTTTCTCATCCAAGAAGCTTCTTCAGTTCTCAGAAAACTGAAGAAGCTTCTTGAATGAGAAGCGAAAGGTTGTCAAAGAAAAAAAAAACACCAACATAGTCTAGTTACCTTTTGGAAAAAGCTCTGTTGGGATAACAATAAACTGGATGATTGAGATCTCCATAGACATCTGGAGATTTCCTAAAATGCAGTATCAAAACTTGGATGCAATATTCTAGGTATGGTCTGAATTAACATCATGCAAAACAAGAGGAACAATAATTGAACTTTTGTTTATGGTTGGTTGCATAGTCGGCTAGATGTTTACACTGGCTTTGACATTGTTTTCCATCTATCAAATCCTTCCCAAGGACATGGGATAGGCAGATGTTGTTTAATAATATTAAAAGTATTGCAAAATGTAAGCTGTTCCAAGCAAAGCTGCCTTTTGCAATTGACTGATGATTTTGTCAATGCTAATGATAATTGAACTTGATTTGCAATACCAGATCATTATTTTGTTTGTTTTTAATCTTTGTATGGGGTAAACAACTTTCTTTCTTAGTGCATTTTGGTTATTTTCTTGCAGACATTTTATTACCCAAACTAGGTGATGTTTACTTACCTCACAGGATTGTTGTGGGGAAAAGAAGGCTACCTTGATTTTATTAGAGAATTGCTACATATAAATCAATAAATAAACAAGTAAGATAAAAATACAGTTGCAGCAGCAAAAAATGGGTAGGTGCTGAAGTGTGGCAAGTAAAATTGTCCCTCATGATCTGCCAACAAGTCACAAGTTGCTCAGATCACTGACAAATTTTAATTTAAAATTTCATAATTTGATAATTTGTTTAGTGAACAATTCAGTCACCAGTTACAATAAGTAATCATGTTTCTGGAAATAGCATTTCCCAACTTTCAACAGTTAGATGCAGAAGACATCAGGTGCAGATATACAAGCACGCAAAAGGTACAAGTACAGAAATATGTGTTCCATAAATGTCATAAAATTAATTACCTTTAAAAAGACTAATGTTTCCATTTTTTCTTATATGGAAGTAATCATAGAACTAATGAAAATATATTTCAGAATGTAGGATTCCAAGCCACAATCCTCTTTTTGTTTCAAAAATGTTTCACACTGAGTTTTGTTTTAATGTAATAGAATGGATGGAAACTAATGGTTATGGAAAAGCAGAGATTGCCTAACTCTCAGGCAAAAATTAATAAATATATTTTAATATCCAAGAAATATAAAAAATAAAAAATGTTATTTTTTAAAAAATGTTAGAGTTGAATTACATACAAGTTGAATATAGTATTATTATTATTATAAACTTTTATTCATTAAACATGAAATGCAGTCAACTGAACATTTAAAAATGTATCACAAATATCATTGACTGATGATGATGATGATTATCCAATTCAATTAAAGTATTCTTGTATATATTTCTCAAAGTATAACAAATTTACTACTTTTGTGTAATATATC